GCGACCTCAGTAAATGTTTTAAGTTTCTTTTTCTTTTCTTAACCAAAAACTATAACCAAAGACTATACATTATTATAGGAAAGAAAGAAGACCTAAAAACATCCCCTCTGTCAACACCCTCAAACACAAATCAGTGATCTCTGGCTAGGATCTCTTGAGCATTTTGACACAATCCTGAAAAAATCCAGGATTTTTTCTGGATCCCAGGGATGGAGCTGGCAGGCTGAGACCCCGCACACGTGCATGCACCCCAGCACAGAAATCCACCTGCCTGCTGCTCTCCAGGAAGAGACTGGCAAGGCCCCCTGGCCTATGGAGCCCCGCCCGCCCAGCCAGGCTGCCTCATTTCCTGGGAGAGAAATCTTATAGAGGGATGGGGAGCCCCACAAATCCCTCAAGCAAACATGCAAGTCAAACAGCCCCATTTACTCGGCAAGGGCCTCTTCAAGTTAACAAGGCGTGGGAGGATCCAGGCAACAAAACCAGCCTTGTCTGGGGAGGTCAACCTTTGCCCTCAGGCCCGGTGGGGAGGAAACCTGTACCCCCTCCCCTGCCCCTCATTCTCTGCTTCCTCTGCTAGGGCTTTTCACAGCCCAGTACCACCCTAGACCTGGTGATGGTGGCTGGCTGGCAGGCAGAACAGGTTACCCCAACACACACCAGGAGTTCCCAAGGTAGTACCTAAGGGAACCTGGGCAGACAAGCCAGCAGGGCAACTCGATGACCACTGTGGATAAACTGCCCAATCCCGGCTAATTGCTATAGACGAGGCGGACAAGGGTGGGCTGGAGGGGAGAACAAGATGGGGAGCATGGGAGGGGAGAAGCCCTGTCCCGATGTTTGCACAAGCTGTTAGCCCTAAGAAAAGTCAGAAGAGGGAGGCAAAGGACCTTCAAGCTCCATGAGATCAGATTTTTTTTTTTAAATGATTGAGTGGTAACTGGAATCTTTTTATTTACATATACACATAAAACATATGTAATCCACATACCATACCATTCACCCTTCTAAAGTGCATGACCCGGTGGTTTGGGACATATTCAGAGCTGTGAACAACTACAAGTCTAATTCCAGGACATATCCATCGCTACCCAAAAAACCCATTCCCATGAGCAGTCATTCTGCACCCTCAGCCCCCACCCCCAGACACTTTGCGTCTATGAGTTTTAAAGGACACTTCATATGAATGGACTCGGACAATACAGAGCCTGTGTGACCGGCCGCTCTCCCTCGGCAGGCCTAAGGTTCACCTGTGCTGCAGCACACAGTACTTCCTCCCCCGAGTGCCCAGTGCATCACGGCATGGCTATGCCACACTAGATTTACCCAGGCATCAGCTGATGGCACTGGCCCGTGTTCCTGTTTGGCTGTGCAGAATGCTGCTGCCAGGCCCCTTCGCTGTGCAGTCTCCATGGCATGTTTTCAGTTCTCTTGGGTAGACACCTGAAGTGGAACTGCCGCATCACTGGTAACCACGCCTAGCTTGAGGAACTGCCAGGCTGTTTTTCAAAACGATCACACATTCTACACCCCCAGCAGCAGTAAATGAGAGCGCTGACTGCTCTACAGGGCAGGCGGCAACCCAGACTTGGTCCGCGTAGGATACACACAGGGTCACAGCACACACCTAAAGGGAGAGTCACGCTCATGGCCATGCTGCCACTGCTACCAGCCACAGCCCTGCACTCCCAGGACAAGCACGGGAGACCAACCTGGCCACGCTAAGAAGGCCCCAGCTGCCTCTACCTCTCTGTGACGCTTCCCTTAGGCCACAATGGGGCCACAGAACAGCTGAAATGATGCGTCTCTCAAAGAGGAATAAAAACCCGACTAAAGGAGATAACTGAGCCAAGTTTAGACCTGGATGAAAAAATGTCTGCAAACAAATGAACAAGGAAACAAAATGGGGTGACAATGGAAAGAGGGAGGGGCACCTGCCCTCAGGTGGGCATATTCGCCACGCAGCGCGCCAGTGAGAGCAGGGCAGGAACTCTGCTGGCTGTGCCTGCCACACACCCCGACTGGCCACGGAGGCGCCATCCTTACCTGCTTCACACACTGGACTTCTCCAAAGGATTTTTTTTTTTTTGAGGCAAAAATGTCTTGTCTCTATAAACAACTGAAAATCTGCAGTCCTAACTATTTGTTCTAGGAAGGACACACAGGAGGGAGGATCCCTGGATGGTGCTGATACAATGCACAGGGGTGTCGTTTCTCCTTGGAAACTCACCCCAGCACAATGCCATAACTCCTGCAGGGAGATAGCAGCTTCTCTGAGATCACGGTGGTGTCTCCTGAAGAATGTTCTGCTCGGCTGGACTCCTGTTGCCTGGAACTGCATGCACCTCTCACACGTAGAACCCTCCGCATGACTGTAAGGTCTGGGGAGGGCCTGCCAATCCCCCACCCAGACCTGACCCTCCACAAACAACAGGACCTAGGAAAATACTTCGGATATCTCAAGTGTATCTATCTTAGGGGCGCCCACTCAGCCTTCACCTCAACATTTAAGACCTCAACAAACATCAGAGAATGAACATAATCAGCGGAAACAAGTTTGTCGATGAAATACAGTTTACAATAGGAAAATAGTGAAAAACTATCCAAGAGTTGGTAAACAGATTGACTAAATCAATTATGGTGCTTCTACATTAACTCAACATTCTGCAGCAGTTAAAAACAAGGAAGTAGAATTTGTACCAAAATAGATGCGCATGACATAATCAGGAAAAAAAACACAATGTCAACAACAAAAAGTATTACAAGATTCCATTTTGTGAAATAAATCAGTAAGATATACAGAGTTCTGTATGTACAGATAAAAATCTCAAACTTTTCACCAGTAACGTATTCCTGGTAGCTAATTTCTGTGACATGAGACTATAAGTAAATAACTGATTAATTTACAAAATGCATTATTAATTTTGCAATAAAAAAATAATGGAAATTTAAAGCGTATGAGGGACTAGAAAGGGCGAGAATGGAGTGTGGCCTGGGGAAGAGTGCAGGGGAACCACCCAAGTAAACACATGAAGAAATCAGTGTCATGGTAAAAGGGAGTTTCAACAAAGGAGGAGAAAACTAGAATATCCCTGAGGTATTGGACTAGAACTGGAAGTGTTAGTGTGAACTCATGGTCTTCAACATATATACCTCCTACTGCATATACAGATGTAGACAAGGATCTCTACAGGGGCAGACACATAAGGGGAGGGAGAGAGGAGGACAGAGATACATCCATGTATGTGTGAGGGTGTGCATGCATGTGTATACTCAGATATTCTCACTCAGTCCACTGAGTGAGAGGGCCCAGGCACAGGGATACCCCAAGAGCTCTGAGCACACCCAGTTCACTGATTTCGCTTCTAAATACCATACTCCACTAAAAGGAGATTAAGTAAGTGCTCAAAGAGGCAGACCTGTCAAAAGGGAAACAAGCTTGAAGGGACTGCCACTGGCAAAAATGGATTATAACCCACTGAATAACAACAGGAAACCATGAGCCCATACAGAGACAGATTAGCAAAGGGAAAACAAGTTGCTTTGTAATGAGATGCCTGGAGACACCACCTCAGTGGAGTCTTTAGTACCAGGGGCAAGTGAGACCATTTATCAATAGGATGCAAGGAGAGGAAGGCCACTTCTGTAGCAGTCCTGCCTAAGATGGATGAGCAGAATTAAACCTTGAGGCTGTGACAGATCCAGATTGAAGGACAGCATACAAAACACTGGCCTGGGTTACCCTAAGCATCAAGGTAACACAGGTCAAAGCCAAAGGAAATGGTCTATATTGGAGAGATCCATTCAGAGATATGAACATTAAATGAAATGATTCTGACCTGGATCCTTTTCTGACTGAAGACACTAGTGAGGTAAAAAGCAAGATTCGAATGGGGTCTGATGACAAGACAGTAGCATGTTAGGAACACTAACTTCCTGAGTTATGTCACGTAGGAGAATACCACGTTAGTACAGTGTACACATTAGTGTGTTGGGACTAAAAGTGTGGCAGTTGGAGACTTATTCTCGGATGATGGGGGGGGGGAGATTTTTTGTACTATACTTGCAACTATTCTATTAGTTTGCAACAATTTCACAGTTAAAGAGTTTTTTTTTTTTCCATTGCAAATGAAAACAAAGCAATGAAGACATTGCCATGCTCAGCTATCAGATGAGTTCAGACTGACACCTATCAGCTTTCTGAGCAAGCCCAGTGCCCTACCTTAACTTGGGAACTCTAAGTGGTCTTGACGGGCACGAGGTTCTCTGTTTAACCAGGCCTGCACTGCAGTTCTTGAAGGACACTCATTCTCTTTTCTAGCCCCAGACATGCAACTACTTGCAGGTGGAGACCACCAGCCCTTGCCACATTCCTGTGTAGCTCATTCCCACCTATGAGCTACACGATGACGCCCGGCCATCATCACTCACAACCAGACAGTGTCCTGACTGGTCTACGCCTCGTGACTTTGTCAATGTAAAACAAGAGCAGACAGCAGCAAGGGCAACAGGCCACACTCCCACCCCAGAACAGTAACTGTTCCCTCCCACTGGCACAGGGTTTTAGTACGTCCGAGTTTCTCTCCATCTGCAGTCCTACAGGAGCCACACAAAGAAAAGCAGCTACAAACCCCCAAGCCCCCAGGCTGCTGAATACCTGCTATAAACTGCAGAGACCTGTTCAGTCCCTCGTTTTTTGGCAGCCCTCGTGTCTGCAACGAGTCACAGATATGTGTGATCACTTTATCATCCTTTGTCTCCTCCATGGGACTGTAGAGTCCAGAAGGCGAAGACAATATTTGCTCACAGGTATCCCAATGCCTCCAAGACGACACTCCACAAATAAATGCTCACATGGGTGGGTGGAGGGGCAGCGGGTATATGGGTGGATGAACAGGTGAATGGATGCATGGTGGTGAGCTGATGTGGGGCACGGACAGGTGGGAAGGTGGGGGGGTGGGGGGGACCCGACCTCGGTCTGCCCCAGCTGTCCACTCTACCTGCTGCTGCTGAGCCCGGAGGTCTCCAATCTCCTTCTGGTCCTCCTCACGGAGCCGCTTCATGTCCTCCCACGACTGCTGCAGCAGGTTTCGCTCCCGCAGCAGCTGTCCATTCTCCCGCCTCAGCACGTCCACATCGTCCTTCAGTTGCGTCTGGTCGCTCAGGAGCCGGCTGTGGAGGGTGCTGACATCCCACACACAGAGTGAGCTTCGGCAAGCCTCCAACCCCCACCCAAGGTGCCACCAGCCCCTCCAGGTCCCAGTATCCCCAGTAAATCAGACAGGAGTCAGTAGCAAGCAGCTAAGTGGTGCCCCAGGGGAGCCCCATATGGGCCACATCCAGGAAGACACAAACCTGGCACCAAAAAGGACACATGTATGTATGAGACCAAGGAAAAGAGGGCTAAGTCTGTACCCAGTGTGGAGACCTGATTCTACATGAAGGTCTACTGGGCACACATCAGGAGGTGGGCAGGTAAATACCCTAAGAGGGGCACCAGGAGACTGAAGCTGCACCACCCTGTCTGCTTCTCCTGGAGTAAAGGCTGTAGCAAAGCCCCTGGACAGTTACCCAGAAGCCCAGTGATCTGCCTGGCCTATTGCCTCATGCCCTACATCACGTCCCACACTGTGACTCTGAAAGCTGGCAAAGGATGGTGTGAAGGGCTAATAGCCTCACTTTGAACTTAGCAAAACTGAGGCCCAAAGACAAACCTCCTAGTTGAAGGCCCACTACTCGTAATGGGGCAGACAGAACTAGATCCAGACTCTGGACTTAGATCCAATCTCTGACTCCAAGTCCAGAAAAAAAGACAAGTCAGGGTGGCCGTTCTGTAAACGCTGGGCGTCCTGACCAGGCAGGCCCCACTCACTGGTAGAAGTCGGTCTCCTTGGCCACCTCCTCGCATCTCTTCAAGGCGCTGGCGTGCTGGGTCTGCAGGCTCTGCAGGTCCGACATGGCCCGCACACACTGGATCTTCAGCCTCTCGTAGTCAGGGTTCAGCCTGTGGTAGGGCCTGGTCCAGACAGGAAACAGGCCGTGAACATGGGCCCTGGGATCATGCTGGCAGTAACACCTGTGCCCAGGAAGCCGTGTCCTGGGTCACTCAACCCAGAGGTTTCCAAACAATAGTCTGCACACTGCAACCACCTGTGTGTGCTTGTTAAACCAGTTGTCTTGGCCTCACACAGAGCGACAGAACCCGTCTGCACTGGAAGGAGCCGTGGCTGCCAGTGCCCCCTCCCTGCCTGGGTCTGGAAAACCGTCAAAGTGCCGTCTCATTCTCCAGGAGCTTCCCATGTTATGAACTTGCTCTTTAGAACAGTGATTCTAAATCTTGAGTAAAGCTTAAAATACTGATGCCCAGGCCAATTTCTTCAGCATCCCTGAGAGTAGATTCGGAAGTCAGGATTTCTTTTGAACTCTCCAAAGGATTCCCATGCGCAGCCAAGGCTGACAACAGTTAGTGGTGCCAGAAGCAAGGGTTGTCAAATGGGGTCCTGGACTTATCCTGCTGGTTCCACCAGGAAGCTAGTTAGGCATACACATTCTGGGCCCTGCCCCCAGGCCTTCTGATACTGGAGAGGGAAGGAGGAAGACGAAGAAGGAAGGGAGCACACATAATATGTGCTTTAACAAGCCTTCTCAATCTGGTGCATGCTCGAATTTAAGAACTTCTACTCTAGAACAGAGATCAGCACAGTTTTTCTGAACAGGGCCAGAGAGTTAACACTTAAGGCCTCGCCGATCAGTCTCCACTTTCAAAATGTGGAAAGGTCATGGACAACATGCACTCCAGTACACTGTGTCTTCACACCCTTGCTTCTGTGCTCTCTGGGGGGCACAGCCTCCTAAGAGCAACCTCAAGATATCACCCCAGAGGAACTCTTCTCAAAACAAGGTACAAGCCCCTGAGGCTCCTAAAACAAAGAAGTTAAACCAATTCCCCTCCCCTCCCAGCATCTCCCAGACAAATAAACCACTCTGACCCTCCCTGGTGGCACAGGGATTAAGTCTCGGCACTACCAAGCTATCGCCAGCCACTACGGCAAGAGTTCCACCCCTGCCCAGAGAGCTGACCCGCATGGTGCAGCAGACCTGCTCCCCTCAGCAGTGTATCTCATTAGAGCCACCTGTTCTGCTCCCCACTCTGGCTCTGGTGAATCCTCTCCCCTGCACCTCTGGCCTGTACCCCAGTTCTTATATGTATAAATAAAATCTTAAAAAAAAAAAAAGAAACCATTTTTGACACTTATAGGCCTCCCGCTCCGCCTACATGAAGCCTTCCTGAATTGTGGGGGTAGGTCAAGACTCTCTCTCTACCCCACTCCATATGCCACACCCACCCCCCTCGCCCCAGTGTCTACCTCTAAGTTCCAACAAAAGAAGCAATCAACAATTCTTCTCAAAACCACAAAGAAAGCCAGGTAGAATATACCTTTCCTAGAATGTATGTGGCCCGGAATCATTTTTTGTGTATTTACAAAATACAAAATACAGTGATGAGGCAGGCTGGGACCTCCTCAGATTCAGTGCTGTATCCTCTTATACCAGGGACCTGCGAGGGTTCAGCCACAGGGCTGCCCTCTCTGTTAGGGAGGGGAGTGAACACAGCAGCAAATGGGATAAAGAGGAAATGGGCAATCTGAGGGATGGAAATGAGAAGCCTAGAGAGAAGTTGTGACTAACACCCAATCAAAGAGGAGACACCGAGGTGGGACCAAGTTCCTCTAGCTGCCTCTAGAACCACTCACCCTACAATCACCTGCAAGGCCAATAGGAAGGCTGAGGGGCTGGCCCCTGGCCCTCCTGACACACACACAGCACTGTCGGGGTCACAGTGTACGATGGACACACACCCACACCGAGTTGTCTATGTGACTCAGGTCATGGCTCCAATTGTGACTCCACGAAATGAGAGTAGCCAGTGGCCCCCCCACCTCTCCAGCTTGCAGACACTGCCTATGGAGAGAGCATTTCAATGTAAGGTAAGAGCAAGGCTGAGAGCACCCCGTGAAATAAAGGTGAGGAGAGGGGTGGTGACGGCGTCAGGACAGTCGCCCTGCCTGCTGGGTCTGGGCAGGGGCAGGCACCATCACTACCTCTTGTCAAAGGTCCCACTGTGACTCGCGAAGGCCAGGCGCTTCCGCAGCTCGTTCCTCTCCCGGGTCATCAGCCGCAGCTGAATGGAGAGATTCTCCAACTTCTGGTTCACTTGCTGGTCCGTAAGGAGAGGTGGGGAAGGCACCTTTCCTGGGGGAGGAAAAGAATAAAGTGAGCTCCAATTGCCAACAGCCCTCACTCACCAGCCAGTCACTGTTCTGAGCTCTTGGCTTGTGCCACCTACTCACAACAGCCCTACCCATGGGTCCTGCTAGCAACCCCCTTTCATAGACGACATCACTGAGTAGGGAGAGCCTTGCCTCCAGCATCCATGCACTCATCCAGCCCCTACTCCAGCCCCGAAGCAGAACCCTAGGGGACCCCCTCTACCCTTCCTGGCGCTGACTTATCCAGGATGGAAACATTTGGATCCTAATCCACACATCCTTGCCTGGTCTGGAAATACTAGTTACCATCCACCCTGGGCCTGAAGAGGCCAGCCTGAGCCTTGAGCAGAGCTGCTGAAAAGATGCAGCCTGAGGAAAAAGACACAGCTGGAACTCAGAGAAGGTCCTGGGAAGGGCCATGGGCTGTGTCCTGCTCTTGTCTCATGGAGGCTGGCACGCTGAGTAGCTGCCTTGTCCAGCGGTCCACCTGCCTGAAGGACCTGCCTACCCAGCCCAAGTGTGCAGGCTTGGAGGAGATTCAGGAGAGCCACCCATGGCTACAGTGAGCATGACGTAATGTAGGTTAGTTGGGGCCTCACGCTGCCCAGCCCACACCAGGCCCTCAACACCTAACCCCCGGACTAGAATGTCTTGAAAGAATCACCATGCCATACACTGTTCCAGAACAGCACCTCTGACAAAATCCAAATCTGTTTCGAAGAAAATAACGCCTTCCAACGTCCTGGAAAACTGTGACTGCATGATGCTATACTTAATTCTGAATGTATTACTAACACCAAAAAGTCGCCTTATATCTCTAGGCATCAGAGGTCCTCAGTGGGATCACAGGAACTCCCTCAGTCATCACTTTATAGATATGGTTTGGGAGGCTGCCCATCCCACAGGCACAGTCCTTATCTCCCTATAGGCCCAAAACACACAAGACCAAGGCTGACCCTTGACCCACTAAGCCTTACAGGCTGGCGACTCATGCAAAACAAGGGTACCCAAAACAAACGTTAGATACTTGTTTCTACCTGTAGTGCCAGGGACATTAGTGAACGTGACACTATGGGTGACAAGCTGGGCCCCAGTCTGAGACAGAGCCTTAAGTTAAGCAAAGTTGGCACTCCACCCGCCCGAGTCGAGTGCCCTCTGAAAGAAGTGTTACTCTGAAGCCACCACCACCAGAACAAAGGAGATTCCTGTGCTCCAGGCCAGAGCTCTGGGTCAGATGTCCTGTAGGACAGGGCCCGGGCCCAGCATTGCCGTTCCCACCAGCACCCTTTCTTGCTACAAAGCTCTGCTTCACAGCATGAGAAGCCTTTCCTCATCTTCCCCCCACAGACTCTGGATCCTTATGCCTGACCCCAGGAGTCCTAGTAAACACACAGGTCCGTGTGGCCTGTGTAACTGCTTCCTCTTCTGGCAAGTGAAATCACTTTCGTGAGTGTTAATCCAGCCAGTTCCACGCTGCCATCTGGTCTGCAGTAGCTTACCCAGCTCTCTAACATGTGTGCTTCCTCTGGACACATGCCCAGTGCCCCTTCCAGAGAGGCCTACTATCTCCCCTTTAACCCACCCCTGGAGTGGTCAGTCAAACCCAAGGCAGTGGCATGAAAAGCCTCGACAAGCACCCGGAAAGGGGGGATTTCAATGTTTCTAAGTCATGACCAGCCCACAGCAGTGAGCAAAGATGTCCCAGGCCTCAATTAATCAAACAATCGCAGGAAAGTATGAAAATTATTGCCCCATTTTACAGTAGAGCAAACTGAGGCCCAGCCAGATTAGGCCATCAACTCAAAGTCACACAGATAGTCAGTGGTGTCCTGGGATGAGAGCCAGGCCTGGGTGTGCAGCTGGGGCTGACCACTGCAGCTACCGCCCCCAAGGCGGCCACCAGGAGAAGCCCCGGTGCACCTCTGAGCTTTCGTGTGTTCTCCAGACATTATCTGATCCCAGCCACTCAAGGAAGGTACTTTTGCTACTGACACCTCAAAGGCTAGGAAACAAACTCTCATCAAGGTTCAATACCTTGTCCAGGTCACAAGCGGTAAGCGTGAACACAGAGGTTTCCTTCTTCTGCCTGACCCAGAGCACAAGGTCTTAAAAGTTCATCACCTTTCTGATCTTCGGGCCTCTTTACACTCTCAAAAATGACTGCAGGTTCCAAAGCCCCTTTTTCAGATGGGCTCTCTCTTCGGAGGATCGCTGCCAGAACAGCCAACCTGCACCTCCAGCAGACGTTGTCCATCTGCCCTCTAGTATCGTCCTCTCTTTATTCCCCCACAACCTCCAGCCCACACCTGCTGTCAATAACCTCTCCTAGGAGAGTCCTGTGTTGAACTTCCACACACAGGTTTCCCTTCAAGCCATGAGACTTTCTTGAAACCTTTACACCGTTGTGTTCGATAGGTGCCCCACACCTCATTCTTGATTGAGGGACACTAGTGTTGACTATTAACAATGGTGTCAGGAAATAACTTCTTTCTATCTATATGATTGTTTCTGTAGGTTTAAGTCTTAGAATAATTCCTAATTAGAGAACACTCATAAAATATCAAGAGAACTGTTAAATTAACCTGTAGAAAGTTGAGCCAGTTTACACTTGCTAAATTTTGCCTCTCTTATGTATCACGAGAGCTCTTTTTTTCATTTGCATCTTTAAAGTCTGGACATCTTCTTAAATCCATTTTCTGTTTGTATGTAATTTTCCTTTGCCTGTTTTTCTATCTGATTGTTTTATTTATTTACTACACGAGAAGTGTCCTCATACCAGGCATGGTGTTAGCTCTAAAATATAGCAACAACAGGATACACCTTCATGGAACCTGCACATCATTCTAGTTTTAAAGACATTAAATTAAAATGCAATTATTTGACAGATAAGGTCCCAGAGAGTTCTCGTGCCCTTCTTCCATGTAAAGATTCAGTGCTCAGATTCCGCCTATGAGGCAGGAAGAGGGTCCTCTCTAGACACTCCATGTCTCTGGGGTGAAAACCTCCCAGCCTCCAGAACCCCAAGAAATAAGTCTCTGTTTCTCTAAGCCATCCTGTCAGTATTGCTGAAGCCGCCCCGCCAGACTGAGACACCTGGGTAGAAAGTAAGATAGGGGCTCAGGCCGCACCAGGACCCTGTGAGCATGAGTGTGTGCTCCAAAGGAAGGAGACACTCCCACTCGTCTGGTGAACAGAGGAGCTGAGCCCCGAACAGCAAAGGCCCAGAGGAAGAAAGCTGCTTGGACGCCAGGAGCCAGGACACTGCCTTGCTGCTTGGTGACACCCCCACACACCCATCAACCAGGGCTGCACATTCCAGGAATCCTCACGGGGACATAAGCAAGCACTCAGCTCCTCCTCCTGCCAATGCGTCAGGAGGCCGCACTTTCATAAATCTCTCCTGTTACTCCAATTTACTTGCAACTTAAGCCTCATTTTTAAAAAGTTGCCCAGAAATGTCTCCTCTTCTTCTGTAAATGTCTCCAGTTGCCCAGAATGAGAAATAAAAAGCAAGCGAGAAATGAAGTCAGGATGAATGGGGAGGAGAAAGGAACAATTGCCTGCCAGGGGCAGCATACCCTGGCAGGTCCTACCCATGGGACAGGTTACTCAGTAACAGGCTGCCAGGAGTGGGGGACAACTCAAAGAAGCTGATGAAACTGCCTGGAGATGCTACAGCAGACAGACACTGCAACTTCAAGACTGCTGGTTAGCAACGGCCTGGGAGCTGGGGAGCAAAGGCAGTGAGCAGGGAGGGTCAAGCTGGAGCTGAAACAGGACAGACCATCCGAGCATCTAATGATAGCCAGGGGGACCAGGCCCTACAATCAGGGACCCCAGGACAGGCTCCTAAACCAGTGTGACCTGGCCCTACAAAAGGGTAAATGTGGAGACACAATTCGAGAACATCATGTGAAGACGATGGTAGGGACTGGGCTGAAACATACACACATCAAGGAATGCCAAAGATGACCAGCACAGCACCAGAAGGAAGGAGAGGCCTGCACGTGTGCTTACACAGAGCCTTCAGAGGCCGTGCGGTCTTCTGACAACTCCAACTCAGACTTCAGGCCTCCACAGCTTTGGAAGAACGTCTAATGTGTGAGCACTCTGTCTAATGTTTTGTCCTGGCAGTCCTAACAAACCAATGGGGGTCCTTCCGCGTGGAAGCTGTTTTCCTCCATCACTCTGACCACATGTCATAATTCTTTATTTAACTGTCGCCCACTAGACCCCACGATCCACAAGCACAGGGACTACAGCTGCTGTTCACCACTGTGTCCGGAGCACTGCTGGCACTCGGGGGCTGCCTGTACACATTAGCCAAGTTAACACAGCGAACTCCACCCCCCAGGTAGCTGTGCAGGCGGGCTGGAGGCCACCTCTCTCTGACAGTCAGACAGGAGAAAACAAAAAATCGAGCCTAATGACCTCTGTGAGCCCTTCCAACTCAAAACTTCTCGATTCACCGTGACCTATTTGCTATCTACAAATCACAGCAGAGCATTCCTTAACTACCTGCAGAGTATGTAGCCCATATCACAAGGCAGGCCTGGGGACATCTAGGCCACTGTTGACCTGATTACGTGACTATCTCCATGGTGGTCTCGGGAAAACTCTGCCTGCGATAACATCAAATACTTTGCTGACGCAAATGTCTCTTGACGTATGGTCATGATGTCCCCTTCCTGTTCCCCACAAGACTTTGTCCCCTATTCCTATCCCACCCTCCAGACCTTATTCTTCATACCATTGTCGCATGATCAGCTCTTACCAGTCTGTATGATTTCAATAAATGGCCCAAGAACGTCTGCTCAAATAGCAGCGTCTTGCACTGCAAACCTGCTCCAAGCCTGCTGTGTCTCTTCTCCCTCATCACGCTCCTGCTGCAACAGTTCACTAGGTGCAGCTGATGAGAGGTAATAGAGCACAGTGGACGGGTCCCAGGTGCCTGGGGAGGCTGGGAAACTTTTACAACCTTCCTACAGGACATCGTTAGTGAAGTACAAGCAGATGGGACTCAAAGAAACACATCCGTATCAGGTTGGACTGGCTACTCCCATCCCTAAGGCAATACAATGCCCAATGTTCTGCCCCTGCTTACAAAGCACAGTCCCAAAGGGAACAGTCTCATGGACAGTGGTCACTATGACCCTGGCAAAGTAGGGGGGACAACAGGCTCATTGACAAGTCCTATGGCCTGCCAAAGGAAAGCAGTAGCAAAACACATGCTTCCCACCGGCATCCAGCTCCCTCCCAACACTGTGGAGGTGTCTACCCTCCTCCACTGGGAGGACATGCTGGTGATGAGAGACAATGGACTGTACTCAACAGCAGATAACCCATGGACGACCTGGCATTCCCTGAATCCAGGGTCACCCCAGTCCACACCCAAACCCCTGACCCTCCTGGTATCCTCCTGGAAGGAGGGGTTCCCAGGGAGCTGGTACTCACCCACACTGCTGAGGGAGCTGCTGCTTCCTGAGTCTGATGGCATGATGGACAAGCAGGAGCCTGGGAACAGAAGACAGACCGTTGTTACTAGCCCCAACGGGCTTCTTGTCTCTACCACAGACCACCGTCAGGCCAGCCGATCGTCGGTCACTGCCAGCCAGAGAACTAACCCCGTACCTGACCAAAGAGCCCTAGACAGGGCAGCAAGGACTCTAGTCTGTGGTGTTTCTGGCTCCTGCTGCCTCACCTTCCTGCTCCCTACTCTCCTACCATGCTCTGGCTCTGAGACTGAACCACACACAGGCGAGGAGAACCTGGAGCCAGCCTGCTGGTGTGCTGTCAGAACACCTGGGGAAAGACTCAGTATGGGAGCAACATGCCCCTTAAAGTGGGTCTGGGTGTTTCCCTCAGATTTTTATCAAGACTGTTGCTACCATGCAGGTAGCAACAGTAACATTACATAAGTTAAACATCTTGAACTACTTCTCCCGTTTTGCCTGACTGTTCTACAATTGGTCCTAACTGTATTCAAGTTCAGTCCCCAGTAATTTAGTCAGTGACTGCCCCCTTATTAAATTACTCATAAAATGATGAGCTATTACAGTCACTGAAGTCGAGGAGCAGCACCTGCTTTAGGGGGGTGGCGGGGAGGAGTAGCACTTAACATTAAGTCCTGCTGTGGAAACAACCACCATTGTTTGGTCTGAATACAAATATCCTCAGTCAGGATGTGTCACCCACCGTATATCAGAAAAAAACTCTCAAGTCAAGAGACCTAGTTTCTGAACCCAGCGACTGAGCAAGTCGCTTCAGTTTTTTGGAACTCTGTTTCCTAGTGTGTAAAAGGAAGGGGCTGGACTGGATGGTTTATAAGATGCTTTCCCCACCTTAAGCTGAAAGGGAAGGCAAACAGACTCAGAGGCTACCACTGGGCACAAAAAGCCAATGCGCAGAGGTGACGCAGCAAATGCAACAGGATAATGGGGACGGCGACGCTTTGTTCTTGAAGCCGATGGAACGGTGGCAATGGACAGGTGCGCATGCTGGGCAGAGCAGGTAAGCCAGGGGTGGGATTTTGGAGTAAGTCCTGAACAAGTGTTAGGAGTTTAGTGTCAAGAATCTGCCGAGAGGGACAGAGAACTTAGGTTCCCAAATGCCCAAAAGTGGACGACTGGATTAAAAAGATGTGGTACATATACACAATGGAATATTACTCAGTCACCAAAAAAAAAAGAAACACGTATCTTTTGCAGCAACATGGATGGAGCTGGAGAAGATCAGGCTTAGATAAGCCAAAAAGAAAAGGAAAAATACCGAATGGTTTCACTCATAGCAGGAGTATAATGGACCAAGCGAGAAAATAATGATAATGATGAACAGCCATATACCAGAGACATTTTATGGGGGTGGAGTGGGGAATGGGATCAAAAACAGTGAGGGGAGGGAAGTGTCCTGGACTATGGTGATGGCACAGGTGATTTGGGGATGGGAAGCCTACGAGGATTGCAACTGAGAAGGAAAAATGCACAAAATTATGTAAAAATAAACTATTAGAGATTAAAAGAGAGAGAGAGAGAGAGAGAGAGAGACCTTCCAGAAATGGAGGGGCCAAATGTAAAGGGTTCTCGCCCTACTCCAAAAGAAAATACGCATTTCTCTTTACAGAGGTAACACAGGTTGACAACACTATGAGATGGGAGAACAGGTTCCCACCTCTTCAGATGAATGTCACCACTGCACACCCACACCCACCTCAACTCTTGGCTAGCCTATCTGCACACCCTCAAAAGGAAAGGAAAGGAGATAAACACATGGGGGAGAACGGGAGGAGAGGAGGTAAGTTCATGGAGAGGAGGTAAGCTTATGGGAGGGGCAGGGAACAGAACACCAGGGGACAGGCAAGCCCCCGTGGAAGAGGAAGACTTGCAGGCCACATGTGGGCCGAGAAACAGCCTCAGCGGACAGCCTACAGGTGAGCTGGTAGGAAAGATGAAGACCAGAACAGGGACATCAGTGAGGGCAAGAACTAGGACAGGACCAGAAGTGTCTGGCAGGGCTTCCGTGTGCACTGAAGAGGATGTCTAGGGGAGGGGGGCAGTGTTCTGTCTCCAGACAGTTCTGTCAGGAGGGATTCAATGTTGAATTTGACTCTGGAAGCGGAACTGGGAACAGTGGGCAGAGGTCAGGAGGGCCTGGCAGACACACAGCCTGGGTCTGATACATGCCAAGGCTGCCATGGGGGCGTCTGCAGCACATTTCACGGGAAGGTCTTGCACACCTAGCAGGGATTATCACAGGTGGGATGGGCACATCATTTGAAGGAAGAGGGAACCAGAAAGCCCCATTTAGCCTGAAATTCCTTGACCCCGGGAAAAAGTAAATAACCAGGGGCCGCCCTGGTGGCGCAAGGGGTTAAAGAGCAGCACTAGGAATCTCTTCACAGCCACTGCAGCACAGGGAGGTGGCCCATACAGCACAGCAGACCTCTTCTGTCTCGCCCTCGGATCTGCCTGTTCTGTTCCCCAGTCTGTCGCTGGTGAATCCTCTCACCTCCCACACCTCTGGCCTGTACCCCAGTTCTTGTGTGCATAAGTAAATCTTTTTTTAAAAAAAGTAAATAAGCAACCTTCATTAAGATGCCTCCAGATTTCAAGTTCAACCTGTATGATTTTGTTCTGTGGATCACTGAATACGTCCTTTTTGTCTCAACAGTGAGCATCTCAAACTTTTCAGATCATGTCTCTCCCATATCATCAACATTTAGTGTTACTTAAAGATCTGTGAAGTAAAAGTATACATAACCACTGATCTGATCTCATCTAAGACCAAGACTGCCAAGACTGCAACCTAATATCAAACTCACCACCATTTCCTTCATTTTTTTTCTTCATAGGGTAAGGAAGCCATCTGGCACGTTGGTAGGCTGTTTTCAAAAGACACCTACTCGGAAAAGCAGGCATAAATAAACTCTCCCCCTCACACCTCCAACGTCTCTGAGCTCAGCCCCTGGGCTCAGCCCTGTCCTGCTTGCAACACCACGGCGGTGACGCTCCTTGCAATGCTTGCTTCTTTCTCACTATTGGCATCAGCCCTGCGACACTGCCAGTAAGATGCCCCTCCCCTTCAAATTGTCTCTCTTCTCCCCCACGGCGAGTTTCCACTGTTAATTAAACTTGGCAGACACCCTCGCTCTCCCCACCCATCTCCCTCTGAGGCTGGAGAAGCCACTGGCCAACCAAACACACTTCTTCCTCGAAGTCCTGATGGGAGCTGACTCGGGGCAGCACGCCATCTCCCTCTGCACCTCTGGGCATCACGCCCCCCACGCCAACTAGCAGGGCTCCTGGGAGCTGGTGGTGGGGCCAGCAGGGGTGATTCAAGTTAGACAGAGTCCAGTTTTTACAATGTTCCCAGAGCCTCACACGTCACTCGGGAAGAAGAAAGGCCTGAGGTAGATGTCTGTTTGGCCGTGCTTTGTCTCTGTGGCTACTGTAGTCTTTAAAAGTCTGTGTGGTCAAGACCATCGGGAAAAGGCAAAAGAAGACACTCTACACTAAAGTGTTCTTTCAAAGCCTGTGGCTTCTGAGGGGCAGGTGGCAGTCACCGGCCTCTGGAGGTCACAGCCCAACGTGGAGAACAAAAGGAGTCCTTCACACCCTGGCCTGTACAGTCTCCCTCTCTGGCCATCACCTGGTCCAGTCAAGGCCAGTTGATTTCCCCAAGAGCAGCCCTGGAGGCACCTGCAATGACCAGTCCCAGACCTAAGGCATGGCCCCCCACCTCCCAGGGTGGCCCAGACCACGGGGGCTCTCCAGTCTGCCTGGCTCCCCAGCAGACACTGATCCCACCCCCACCCACATGCACAAAGAGCAGCAGGGCACTGCCAGCTCCCCATAAACTCAGGCAAACCTGTGCAGAGGGCCTGAGAGGACCCCAGAAAGTCAAGAAACTGGAACAGTGTCAGAAAAGGAAATCATGAACCAGGTTGTCCCAGGTATGTGGATGGGACAGTTAGATGGGAAGGGGAATCTCTACTGTCATAGGAATCGCTCTGGACAGAGTGCAGGGTCTAACCAGGCAAATTGGTGTTGGGCCTGGGACTCTGCATGTCTGGCAGGCCCCGGGGCGTGTGGTCTCCATATGGAATGAATGTAGGCACCAAAGCTGACCGGAGCAAGCAGGTAGGATGCAAGTGGAAGGTATGACAGAAGCCTTGGGAGAGCAGCAAAGTCTGGGACCAGCTGGACAACAAGTATTGTTTGCCTCCTTCCAGGAGCCCAGCCAGCCTCTGCTAATTGTGTTTACTCTGTGACTCAGCCCCACTGGGTCACAGAGACCACTTCAAAAGAACTTCCAGTACAATCACCCTAGCGATAATAACGTAACGGAACACCCCAGCGCTCCCAGGCCCTCTCCCGCCCCCTCCAGCACACTGTGGGGCCGAGACAGACAAGAGTATGTTCCCTAACACACCCTCCATTCACCTGGGCTGGCAAGGCCAAGGTGACTCACGCTTCCTCCCTGACACCTGCGCCGGGAAGGGACTTGTTCCCATCCTGAGCCAGCACGCAGAGTCCTCCCTGTGCTCTCCCAGGACCAGAAAAAGCTGGCCTGCCACACTGACCTGAGACAGCTCTGGGTCACTGTGAGACAGCTCTGGGTCACTGTGAGGACTTCAAAGGGTGGAGGCGAGGCAAGTTTGCTCTTCCCAAGTGCAGGCTCTGGAGGCTGGAGGCGCTGCCTGGGCACAGGAGGAAGGCACACGGGGTCTGCACCACTCTGCCAGCCCCCAACGCACACCTGAGCTGCCACTGCTGAAACACAGCTGGCTGAGGGCTTGCGCATTCTCGTACTTGCTTATCATTTCCTTCATGCGCCCAACATGTGCATGGCCTTGGGGGGACCTTGGGCAGCTTTGGTAGAAGCAGACAGGGGCTTTGAAGGTGCACCGGCTATGATGCTCTGCAGAAGCCCCTTCCCCTCTGAGCCGAGGGCTTCATCTACAGACAGAGGCAGTTGTGACCACAACTCTAATGCCAGCACCAGCCTGCCTGGCTTCA